GCGCCCTAAGGCTGCATGAACAAAAACTGTACCTTTGGGCATGGTAGTATTCTGAATGAACCAGGTATGGCATTGGACCAACGCGCTAACCTAAGCGACTATATATCACCAATCCAGAGATTTGACGATGTAGATGTCGTTATTCCTAGTAGAGACGACTGGAAACGAAGAAACCCTCCTCTGGACGGTCTGGCCTTCTATACAGACGGATCCAAGATGGAAGAAGGTACTGGGGCAGGCGTATACTGTGAATGGTTAGGCCTTGAGTTAACCTACAAGCTGGATTGCAACTGTAGTGTTTTCCAAGCTGAAATCTTCGCGATAGAAGAAGGTACTGGGGCAGGCGTATACTGTGAATGGTTAGGCCTTGAGTTAACCTACAAGCTGGATTGCAACTGTGGTGTTTTCCAAGCTGAAATCTTCGCGATCTGGAAGGCAGCGGAATTGATAAAAAGTCTGGATGCAGAGGTCGTTGAACCGGTGACTATTACCTATAGCTATCGGTTGTGTTGGGTACCAGGACATTGTGACATATTGGGTAATGAAAGAGCGGACGAACTAGCTAAATGAGGATCCCAATCCACCGATCTAGAAACTGATGACTCAATCAAACCACCCATATGTCTTTTTTATCGGAATTTTGAGGCATTCTTTGACGAAAGAGCCTGTGAACTTTGGCACAACGAACCTAGATGCAACGTATCAAGATCCATTTGGCCGACTCTGTCTACCAAAAGAACTCACTAACTGTTGAACCTGAGCAAAGCTGAAATTAGAGTGACGACGGGAATCATTACTGGTCACTGCAACATCAGGGCTTTTACTAGTAAATGGGATCTTGATGCAATTGATTACTGCAGACTCTGTGTTGACGAGGAGGAAACGGGACAATTGAGCATCACCTGTGTCATTGCCAGCCCTGGCTTACAGACGGCACAGACTAGTGGGTGCTCATTTTCTACCGAGTCTAAGCTTCTTCTCAACAACCGAACATGCTCTAATCTACAGCATGACATGTAACACATCTTCTGTCTGACTCCAAGAGTCATCGACCTTCATTCCTCCTTCATTTAATTATGTGAGATTTTCAACTCTCCTTTAATTCCCTAATTTTTTCTCCCCTACAGATCTGTCTTTGTCTCTTCTCTTCACTATATCTCTTCTTGTGTATGATCACAACGGACCTAATCGGTCTCAGAGTGCTGCAGCCACATAAGTGACTGCACATCCCCAAACCTAACCTAACCTCTATTGCACATAATATCGTTTATCGATATACTGTAGAGTAAACTATTTCGGATATAATTCATTTTCGAGTATGTGGGTTTACTACACTACGACGATACGAGCTCAGAGGTCGTCTGGAAGAAGATGAATTCAGAGATCAACTATTTTGGAGTTGATGAATTTAGGCGTAGTCAATTATAGAGTAGAAGGATTTAGAAGATTTTTTTTACTATACCGTAGATGAGCTCAGAATTGATATACCGGACAGTAGACAGCTTTGGAATTGATCAATTTCAACTTCAATTTCAGAATAAGTGACTTCATATTTCATTTGTTATTTCAATACATGGTTAAATATATGATATCTGAGGACATACGTTTTGTACGGACATGCATTTTTTCAACCAGTTTTCCATATATACATAACGCTATACATAACGCTTCCGGTACTTTATTATCAGAAAACCTTGTTTTATAATATATTCCCAGGTATTATAAAGCAAGGTCTTCTGACAAAAATTTATCATCTTTAGGGCATAAAACTTACAACAAAATATCTTCAATTTCTTTAGTGTCTTAACAATCTCTCAGGGCAAGCGATTTCAAAAATAGTAATTTGAAGTGTATTAATTCAAGTTCCACAATATAAAATAGAAATCCCTCGAAGAAGCCCTTCAACTGGTCTACTTTTTATATAGGAGAAGACTTTCCATAAATAACAGATTTTTCATCAGCTTTATTCAAATAGAAAATTTTCCATCGGTTTCCTGTATCTGGAACACATTTAATTGGTCTTCTATATATGCTCTGGGTCTTTCATTGGTATTAGACATTATTAGGGTCCTTTATTAATAAACTAATCTTCTTCTAAAGATAGAATATCTTTCCAAATTATAAAAGACTCGTTTATTTGGAAAATGATTTAGGTCATTTTTTCCTATATTGAGATATTTAAAAGCTTGGGTTTGATTTGTTTCAAAAATATTGTTAAGTGGTATTTTGTTTATGATATTCTGATCTATATCATGATAAAATATATATAACGTAACGTTTTGTAAACTTTTCTAGAAAACCAAGACTTGTATCAGAACCCAAAATGCACTTATACCACTTTCATCTTAAGTATAGGATGAACAACAGATATCTGTTATTTTATAAGTTATAGACCCACGGGTTCTAAACGATTAATCTGTAATATATTAATAATTATTAGTGAACTTATTAAATCAATATTTAAAGGTGTCCGCGCATATTTCAATCGATTTTTTAATTATACTATAATACTTTAATAACGTTTTATTTTTTCATTCTTCTATTTCAGTACCTCAGACAAACATTTTCCCTTCTATCACCGGAAGACCAAAGCACACACACTCTCACCCTGCAACAACAAAAAAGGCCACACATTCAAACCTAAAGCAACAAAGAAAGCAGAAAAGGAACGCTGCAACAAACTGCAATGCGGTACCAGAAAACTCGTAAAAAATATTCCAATTACAACAACAACAACAGCAGCAGCAAAAACTACAACAACAAAAACAAAATTAATAATTATAGCACATCATTAGCAATAAATTTCCACAAAAACAAAAGTATTGACTAAAATAGAAGAAACACAACTACAACAACAGCAACAAATCATTATTATCATCATCGCACAACAACAACAACAAATTAAGTACAAAACTAAAGCATACTTAGTAGTAGTAATTAATTTGGATTAGTGACTAGACTATTGTATCAAATCAAAAAAGAATCACAACAACAACAACAAAAGAAACTAACTTATACCGAATACACAAACAAAGCAAAAGTAAATCCTTTTCAGCATCGTCGTCATCATTGTCATTCTTACCCATCCCAGGACATTTGGATATTTTTAAAAATATATAAATAATCAAACGAATACGGACACATACCGAGATCCCAAAGCGTTTCTTTTTTCTGAAAGGGTCATGTTCGAGAAACCGCCCATTTGGGTTATAGTTGTGGGCCTAAATGTCTGCATTTTGATATGGTTGATCACAGTCCAGGAGCCGGTTATGTATGATGCCTCTACAGCCATTATAACCAGTGGCAGCATCAACAATAATAACAACAACAGAAATAGTTTACAACAACTAAATGATGTGGCAGCACCACCAGCATTTCAACAACGTGTGGGACGTAATGATCGTGATATAGCTCCACTGTTTTCCGGCAGACATTTGTCATTTAGTGATGTGAATGGCTCCAGTACGTTTCCAACTACCCTAAATTGGAATATCAGCAGCAGTAGCAGTAGCAACAGCAATAACATTAGCCAAATAACTCGTTCCGAGGAAATCGTACAGAGTACCACCACTGTTACTGACCTGCTAGCGAATATACATTCATTAACATCTAGTCTGGGAACGGGAGTTCTCGAAACGATACAAAGACCAACACCATCATGGATAAAAATGACTGCTGTTTCATCAGCACTGCCGGAAGAAGACTTCAATCATTTGATAGATTTACATGACTTCCATTATCTTGTGCCTCAACCGGTGTGCAGCTCGAATGTGGAGGCCCTAATACTGGTGCACTCGGCACCACGCAATCAACCGAAACGGCAAATAATACGCGAAACATGGGCTAGCATTGGTCGTCATATGGTCGATTCACCCATCCGGGTGTTATTTCTTTTGGGTGCTGTCGCGGAGGATTCTCTACAGCATGAGGTTATGAAGGAGAACAGCGACTATGCTGATATCATTCAAGGTTCATTCATGGATGATTATCGCAATATGACCTACAAACATGTCATGGCCTTTAAATGGTTCCTTTACAATTGTCCCGATGCCCAGATATTAATCAAAGTGGACGATGATGTCTATGTAAATACGCCGCAACTAATTAAATATCTGAAGGCCGAACAGCAGAACGAAAATATGACGACCGCTGCCAAAAATGCAGAGACGACAAATGAGATGTCGGAGGAACAAGATGCAAACAAACCCACCATCATAACTCTTAATGATACAACAAAAAAGACAAAGTCCACCAAGAAATCTCTTTACGAGTCATTGAAAAATTTCGCAAACTCATTAACTCTCTCATCAACATCATCATCATCTTCCGATTCATCGGCAGATAATTTTACAGCCTCAACGAGGCTCTTTCATCGACCACAAAATTTACTGTTCTGCCAGAAGATTACCGGGTCATTGGTTAAACGTTCCTATCGTTCCAAGTGGCGTGTCAGCTTCAAAGAATATTCAGAGCGTTATTATCCACCGTATTGTCCCGGCTATGCCATCATCTACTCGCCGGATGTGGTCTTTCGCCTGTACAATGCCGCTCAGAATTTCAAATATTTTTGGATTGATGATGTCCACATAACCGGTGTTCTGGCCCAACAAACCAACACAACAATAACCACCTCATCACATTATGTTCTCTACAGTGACGAATGTGAACGTCTATTGACGGGCAAGACTGATCTCCAAGATACGGAATTTCTGTTCGCTTGGCATAGTATATCGGCTCAGCAAATCAAAGCGATTTGGCATCTGCAAATGATGTCGCTCGCCTCACCCGACGATCTGATCTACAGCAGAAGTACGAATCACAACAGCAACAACAGAAGAAAGAAATCAAGACGACGCCAGGGCTCAAGCTTCAAGAATGCCAGATTAGCATACAACATCACTACCAACAACAATTTACTAACAACATCGGATGGCTTCAGATAGTAGACTTTCAGTTAGTCGGCAAAGAATGCAAGTTCAGGCGGTGGCGATACCTCCCAGCAGCGAACAGAAGCAGACGGCAGAAGTATAAAGAAACGCTTACAACATTAGTTTAGGTTTATTACTATGATTATAATTATTAAAAAAAAGAAACTATTATATATAAATATAAATATTGATGATGATTTCCAAGGTTCTAATTTTATTGTATTTTATTTTATTATTTAATTTATTTTTATTTTCGTCATTGTAAAGTGAAAAGACCCACAAAAAATACTGGCTTTATTTTATATATTTTACCTAAAATAACTACAACTAAATAATTTATTTAAAAATGGAAATTAAAATAAAAATATATAAACAAAGAAGAAAAAACGTAATATATATACAGACACATTATTTGGATTGTATGTACTTGAAAATATAATTTTAATAAATTTACTGATGAGATGAACCACTTCCCCCTGTGTGTGGTACGGTAAGATTTGTTAAATGTACATATACCACTGTGTGTTTTTCTTTATTATTATATGTATTTTAATTGTTGGAATTGAATTGGGAAAAGAAAAAAAAAATAAGTAAGAAAATGGTATGAAGAAACAATAAAACAGGATAGCTAACTAAATGATGTCGATGCACTAACTAAATGAGGCCGATGCACACGTAATGATCGTGATATAGCTCCACTGTTTTCTGGCAGACATTGGTATTCAGTGATGTGAATGGCTCCAGTACGTTTCCAACTATCCTAAATTGGAATATCAACAGCAGCAATAACATCAGCCAAAACAACTCGTTCTGTGGAAATCATACAGAGTACCATCACAATTAGCCTCAAGTCTAGAAAAGGGATAATAAAAATGATAGCTATTTGTCTGTAATGTCATAGCCTGTTAACATATAGACGATAGTTCATAGACGACATCTCTCCTCCGAATACATGACATAACATGCGTCAGGATTTCCAATTTTGTTGATAAATTCAATTCAATTTTTTTCAATGCAATTTAATTTATTTCATAAACGAGAACCTAGCCCAAAGGGCCATGAGCGATTTCAAAAACTTCATTACGTGGACAACTCCAAAAGCTTAAAATTAACAGTAAATCACATAATCATATCATAAGCAACAATACGTGAACAATACAAATCAAAGGTGCCCATACTTATAAAAATACCGAAATTTGGGAGCTGGCTATCCTTAAAGGTGGGCCAATATCGATAATTTTTGCTAGAAACATCACACAACACATTTTGTATGTAGGTTCGGTTACTATTTAGGGGATATATTTTCTTTTATCACTTTAATAATCACTTTTGTCTGTTTTCGAGTCGCTCTAGGGACCACAATTATGACCCGACCTTAAGAAATTTGGGTTTGGCCCACGAATCGGTCCGGTGAAGTGAAGTAAGACAAAATAATGCGAACATTTTAATGCAAGACCTAGTGTGAGGATGTTTGCAGTGTATTCACGAAGAATGCTGCTTGACCTCTAAATTGAAATCAATTATATTGATGTATGTACTCGAATATGGAACTAATAAACAGACATTTGTCGGGCTTTACATATTTTTACCAGAGGGCTATTATTTCGGGAAATTTTGAATAGTGGCAGGAATTTGCTTTGTAGAAGGTTAAATTCCAATGTAGTTGTTTATGGTATCATAATGTCGCCCTCATCCGAATATACATTTTTCATTCACAATATAGATCCCAATATTTAAGATAGAGCTCTGAAATTTTGCACAGACTTTGCTAGTATTCCTAGGTTGTTTGGTATTGCAAATGAAATATATTGGTCCACGATTTGCTGTAGCTCCAATAAAAAGTTATTCCCCAATATTCGGTATTTTGGACACTTTTTCAACCAAATTGTCCGTAATTTGGTATTTTGGGTTCTCAGTGACGAGATGTGGTGGTACATCTCCGCACTAAAAATTATTAATATTGACCCAAGACCCGAATTGGCTGTAATTTGGTCTTTTGTATTTTCATTGGCTGTAAAATATCACTACCAAAAAAATAACAATATTGATCTCCGTTTTATTATAGCCCCTATGTAACGGTAGCCCTACTATTAGATATTTGAGAATTTCAATAATATTTTTCACGTATTTTTCAGTATGTTCAAGGTCCTATCATAAAATGAGTTTTTTCCTAGTGCCCCACATTAATTTTAGATATTTTCATTGTCATCCTTATGGTGGAGGATTTGGGATTCTCTGAGAAACTGGCATACAAATTGCAGGCTAGATCAGGGTTTTGTCATGGAGATTTTTATATTTTTTTGTGGATTTTCCAGGCTCACAAGTTGTATAAATTTAATCACTTGTAAATACTAGTGCCTAAGAGTATGCTTTACATTATTAACTTTACGCCTGCAGTACATTTCAAACTGTAATGTTTTGTCTAGCAAAGAAATAACCCACAACAAATATCAAAGCCACAAACAACTAAATATTTGCATAGTTTAGTATACATGGCTAACGTCAGATGGCAGTTGTGCTGATTATTAGGGGTAACCCAAAAAATAAAAATAATATTATAAACAATAGACAATTTTTGAATAAGAAATACATTGACAAATTCTCAAACTCTGATCGAGATACCCCAAAACACATTCAGCAGTCTCTTCGGCTACAAAAATCACTATGCGGAGAAGCCAAAGGTATACGACAGCCAATGTCCACATTGTCATGGTCCATAATGATTCGTTTTTTCAATTTCTCAGAATATTCCAGACAAACAAATCGTGGTGTATCACTCAGAATTGGCCGTTCTAGTTGCCAAATTACGAGTTTTGCCAGTGAACCAGACGACCATTTGCTTCGATGTGCATTTTCCACAAACCACTTTATTTATTTCAGATACTCAGCCCAGTAACCAAGATCTCATGTGATGGGCGTCTCTCTGAAGTATCAATTGGGTGTAGGAAGTAGTTAAGCGAGTAAAAGAAGTGACAGGAGGTCTGGTTATAATATTTATGACCTGGTCATGTCTGGCAATGGTTGGGTACACATTCACCGTGCAAAATATAAATCTGAAAAAATTGCTCTTTTGTCCATTGCCGTTATTGATGATGTGTTTTATTGTCATTATAACGCGAACTAATGTTGGCAGTGTTACCCTCTATACTATGTGTGTAGTCACCAGAGTCTGCTTAAAATGGAACATCACTACACATGATTCGGTGTATTTCGTCTGGGACTTAGAGTGTTCGCAGCAGGCCCAAGATAAAAAATAATGTCTACGTGTATAATTAGCAGAAGTAACAGGCCCTCCTGGTTAAATATTTCGGTTAATATAAGATGTCGCCATGTGATTTCCTAAGTTATTCGTATGATGAAACCAATTTTTTAAAAATATTTTTTTGTAGTGTCTGTATTCCGTCTACCAAGAAGATTTATAATATTTTTAGGTCAAATATCAATGATTGTTTCCGTTTCAAGCTCTTGTACATTATTGATATGTATATATTTAAATTCAATACGTATGTATATATTTTAATGCCTTATTATTAGAATTTACTTTCAGCACCCACAGTTCTGCTACGGAGCATTGGCTTGGCAAATGTTCGAAATTATCAGCTATAACTTAAGAAACACCATTTTCAGGGGTAATTTCTATAATATTATACCAAATCACATTAAAAATTATGAAATTCGGGCATATACTATATATAAGTAACATTTAGGGTGAATGGAACTAAAATAATGAATTTTGGCTACGAACTACATGTATGTATATGTTGCTGTTTTTTGGCATAAGAAAAAAAATCTTAAAATTACGCCGTTTAATATATTGACCAAAAACGTTGATATAGATCTTCCTCCGTAAAATAAGAATATGAATATATTATAATAATCGGCAAAAAGTTTCACATCTTCGCAAAATATGAGAAAAGTAATAAAAATATAGGAGATTACGTCAATATTTTCATTATATTAATGACATACACACACCTAAAAATTAATTTAAAAATATCTGCATAATCTAAACACCATGATGAATCAAATGATATCAAAATCACACAAGTCCGTGTGTGCATTGAAGTACCCAAAAACTCGTAAAACGCGAATAATTTCCGAAAACTCCATATGCCATTAACGCGCATCCGATTTCGGTGTGCACCCTAAAAAAATACTTCGATCTATACCGATTTCAATGTGGTCCATTAAGAACCATGGATGTGCCAGCTCATACTATTTTTGAGATAAATTGGGTACATCTCTCTTTCGGCTGAAGTTTTTAAATTTCTCTTATCGAAAAAGATCAAAATCCGTATGAGGTCATTTATTGAAGCGGAAATGATCCACAGAAAACGCAAATAAATTCGCGATATTTTCAAAATAATTTTTTGCCAAATTTCGTGTTTTTGGAAGGCCAGTTCCCGCCGTTCTAGTAGATGGATTTTCACGAAGAAGATTTTATATCATCCGAAACGTAAAAAACCTTATTGATCGCGGGTACCCATATCATTCAGTTGACAGATCTGAAAATTTGGCCCGAAAAATAGGTTTTTCAGAAATTTGATCGCACAAAATTTTCACCATCGGATGAGTATTACTCTGAAGCTGTTCATACCACATACACAATATATATATATATATATCAAATTACGCAGATTCTCGACTACAATAATCTTATAATCGATTTTTAGAAATTCCTGTTTGCGTATTAAAGCTAGAAGTAAAATTAAAAAAAAAAAACACTCAAAATCGAGCTTCAAAATGTCAGCGTCATTTAAAGGTAGATGCAGTTAAATTTTTGAAAAATGATACGTAAGTGGCGTAGTCCCCATTTTGTTGGCTTCTAGTTTTGCTTTGACACGAAGACCGTGAAATGAGTGGCTTACTCACAAATCGATAGAGAACATAAAAAACTGGTTCGCCTCAACCTGTTTTTACACATTTTTTACATTAAAGAAGACACAGCTTCCACCAAAATAAAGTTTGGAGGTCAATATCAAGAACAGTTTGCAACGACAGACCAATTAACCCAA